TATACCTACTCGGGTATACACACGTCCTTACTTGTTATTTTGTTTATCTCGTTTTCCTTACATTCATTTTATCCTTTTTATCCTCCGATCCGATCAAATTGGGTCCGACCATTCCGGATTACCAATTCAGCTCGTTCCGAAGGTTTTACTTACCGTAGGTCGGTTTCATTCAAGTTTCATGAGGTTCGGGTAGGAAACGGGTCTAGGTAGGTCACGTATAAGGGTCGGTTGCATCGGATCCCGCTTGAGCCGACGAAACAAGCCGGAACGGGAAAACAATACCTTGGAACGGACGGTCTGCTTCAGCTAGACCGGACGGTCCAAGATGACTGATCCCGGCGGTCTAGAGTTAAGCTGGAACGGACGGTCCAGTAGAGGTGGAACGGACGGTCCACCTCTGGAACAGACGGTCCACACCTGGAACGGACGTTCCAGACTTCATCTTCTTCCCCAAAACCCTGCAACCCTAGAACGGACGGTCCACACCTGGAACGTTCGTTCTAGACGAACCAGGAACTTCGGGTTCCAAAATTTTCGCACCAAACTCAACAAGTTATACACCAAAATGATCCCTAGCACATTAGGAATCCAAATCTAACACCAATTTCATGCAATTTCCACTCAAAGCAATCAAATCTCCATTTTCAATTTGATTATCATTTTCGGGCATAATCCGAAACACTCACCTAGCTCAAATTCGAGCTTGGGGTTTCGTTGGGGATGTTCTGTAGGGTTGATTGCTATGTTTATTTGTTGATTTCGATTGAAATCGGAGCTCCAATCGAAGGTTGAAGTTTCGGACTTTTTGAGAGAGTTTTGGAAGAGTGGAATGAGAAAGAGTGGAAGGGAGCGAATGGGCGAAGAAATGCCGGACCTAGGCGAGTTTCTCGCCTCCAGACGAAGCAGGAGGTGTCCCCAGGCGAGGGAGGCGGTTGCATGGCGAAGCAGGAGGTGGCGGCGCGCGAGGGTCCGAGTTCACGTCTTCAGACCGGACGGTCCGACTAGCAGAACGGACGGTCTGCAACCTTCCAGACCGGACGGTCTGCTTCCCAGACCGGACGGTCTGGACCCATTTTCGCCCGTTTTCCTCGCTCGTTTCGGTCCAATTCTTCGGGTCAACTTTGTTAGGGTCTAATTTAATATTTTAGGGACATTTTTATGACTCATATTTAATTTTCTAAAATTTGGTTTCAAAGTTGAATTTACGGGTTATTACAATCGAGGTACTCCACTAAGACCCATTCATCTAATCTTACATTATGCCAAACAGATTCATGAGATGGATGAAACCACTCATCTGACATCTTCGAAGAAACCGAGAATAATGTGTGATATAAGTTGGTTTTCTCCCCCTTGGAATACAATTAAGCTAAACACAGATGGGAGTGTTAGGGGAAATCCGAGTT